TGGAACACTCATCCAAGATGTCATCCAGCAAGTAAGCTGCATCTCGAAGCTTGCGTAGCCAATTCTGGAGAGGTTTGTCGGTGAGTTGCTTCTCCTCAGCATCTTCGAGCACAGCCTTGATTGTAGTGAGTACGCTTGAAAGCCTTGTCATTTCTCCACCGACACCCATAAACAAAACGAGCTCTTTCTGAATGAGTGAGCTCAAAGTCTCAATTGCAACCTCAATCATAGCCTCCGTCATCGTGTGAATGACAAGATCCGATGTAGTGAGGTGTGTTTGTCTTGTGGGAAGTTGAGTAAAGCGAGGTCGAAAGCTTGGGAATATATGTAGCAATAACTGAAGAAGATGGGCAGAGAGACTCTTCAAGTAAAAAAGGAAGCAAAACCGCGTGGCCCAACAATGCAGTGCGTGATCACATGCTGCCGAAAGTACGGGAATGGATCCCCCCCCCCCTTTTTTTTTCCTCTCTTTTCCCCTCTCTGCTGGTATACACTGCCCCTTTATTTTTTTTATTTGCCTTTCCCAGCTTTCTGGAACCATCTATGCTTGGGGACACAAGCTGTCAAATAAAATACCAAATGAAAAATGAGATTTATTAAGAATAATTTACAAGAAAATTTATTATGTGCATATTCAATTTAATTGTTTTATATTTTAAATAAATTTTTATCTTAATATATACATAATTTAAAATAAAAATAATTTTATAACTATCATTCATTAAAAATAAATTGATTATTGAAAAAATTACATGTTAAAAATTTACACAGATAGTAAATAATTTTATTTAATTATTTTATTGTTAAAATGTCTCATTTTTCATTTGGTGATGTTTTGGCAACCTATATGTTATATAATGGATATTTATATTAATCATAATTAACAAATTATGAGCATAAGAACTAATATTTGTAATTGAGAAAAACTGATAAGAATTAACCAATTAATTTTTAAAATAACAAAATCAGTTATATCAAACTATAGAGACAGATATGAGTTTCTGCGACTCCCTATCTTTTTAGTTTTGTTTTTCACTTTTTTGAGTCACCAAACACAGATGAAACCCTTTACTTCGGAAAAAGAAAGAGGGAGGGGAGAGATAACGTGGCAGCAAGGCACTGGCTGTAGGAAGTTAAGAAAGGGAGGGGGGAAAAAAAAGAAGAAAAAGGGCCACAGACAGCAGCCGAGAGATAAAGAAAAGGAAGGAAACCGTTCCCCTAGGGTACATGGAAACCAGCAGGAAAACACCACTCCTCTAATTGACCTTATTCCTGGGCTAGAAGCGATGATTGATACAGAGGAACGTGTGGTTGATTATGTGGAGTTAGGGGGAGATTGGGATAGACAGAAGCTACTTTAGTGGTTCCACCCTCATATTGTGGATCGGATCTCTAGTGCGCACCCACCCCGTGAGGAGAGGATAAATTTACTTGGAAACCGTCCACCAACGGGACCTTTACTATTAAATCTGCCTACTCTTTTATTTCTGCAGGTACTAGCCAACCAGTGGAAAGCGTTTGGAGACACCTATGGCGATGGAAAATTCTGGAGAAGATCAAAACTTTTATGTGGCTCTTCTGCCACAATAGAATTCACACGGCGCAACTAAGAACGAGCAGGGGACTTCAACCAGATGAGAGCTGTCCATTTGGGTGCAACCAAGTAGAAAACGCTATGCACCTTCTTCGTGAGTGTGTCAATGCTAAGGAAAGATGGAAATGTGTAATCAATCCCTTAATGTGGGAAAGCTTCTATTCTAAACAAGGAGTGGAGTGGGTTACGTGGAATCTTACAAAGGAAGCAGGAGCTGATCATACTAAGAAAATTCCTTGGGCCACCCTCTTTGGTTACATTTGTTGGGATATTTGGGTGGATAGGTGTAACCGGCTCTTTAATACAACAAGCACTAATTGTCCAAGCAATGGGATGTCTACCTTTTTTAGAGCTTGCCTTGATCAAGACCTACTAGAAAAGTGCCAGTTTTACAACCTCAATGGAATAAATGAAAGGCAAAGCAATAGAGATGTGGGCAGAGAGGTCAGGCTGGAGGTTGATGGATTGGTACTGCAGGATGGTAGAAGCGGATGTGGTGGAGTCATAAGAGATGGAGTAGGTAATTGGATTTGTGGATTCAGCTGCAAGCTTACTAATGTTCCACCTGCGATTGCGGAGGTAATTGGCGTTATTCATGGCCTTAACATGTGCTGGAACAGAAATTACAGAGAAGTCTCACTCCTTTCTGACAGTTTAGAGGCAATCAACCTAGTCACCAGAGGTTGTGATGACCAACACCCTTTTAAGGATGTCATTGATGATGCCCGTATTATTGTTAACCAAAACTAGAAGGTTTTCTTGTACCATGTGTATAGGGAGGAAAACCATTTAGCTGACTATCTAGCTAATCTGTCCCATAGCCTTGATACTTCTTTTAGGATCCTTGATCAACCTCCCCCTTTTTACCAAGAGGTGGAAGGTGATGTAGGAGGTTAAGCTTCTTTTCTTTGTTTTGTTTTGACTTGCTGATCTAGCTCTGTATCCAGTTTTTTATTCAAAAAAAAAAAACACCACCCCAAAATCACAGGTACTTTCTTGATTGGTGTACAAAAAGAAAATTACAAATCATTACTCATAACGTGAAATCTTTGGCAGGCAAACCCCTCAAGAGGGCACAATTTTTTTTTTGGTGAAAAGAATAAATGTGATTCCATCATGATATAATATTTAACCCAAGCATCGAATTGGGAGGAGGCAGAAGTGGATAAAAAATGGAAAAGTATTGAAGAAAATAAAGGGTAGAGAGACGGGGACGGTCCATCCGGCTAGCTAAGCCTCGGTATTAATTTATCATCATTTTCCCTTTTCCTGTTCCTTTTCCTTTTATCTTATTACCCACTCCTATTTATCAGATCTGAAATCTTTTTTTTATAAAAAGCGGATTTACCTTTTGTCCCATAATAATCCCCCGGCCAACTCGAATCTATGCAACGCGCTTTTATTTTTCTGCTTCTGACCGAAAAAAAAAATGAAGGGGTGTTTAAGAAAAAATCAAATTATAGTTTTAAAGATAGTTTTATGACGTATGAAGTAAATATATTAAAAAAATTTTCTTTTGATTTATGAAAAAATATTTTTTAAAAGTGTTTTTTTTAATACTTACCAAAGAACCCCTAAAAATTAAAAAAACTTTTCAAAAACATTTGTATACACTTTTTTAACGAGTCCTTTTCACGTTTTTTTCTTATTTCACTTTACAATTCCTTTGTTTGTTAGATTACTGTCTCATGAGAGATAATTGGATTCTAAAATGGACTGCTAGATGTTAGCTACATGCCCAGATTTCGGATGGATGGAAGAATTGAGTTAATTGGCTTTATTAATCTGGACAAAAATGGGGTTCAATTTTTGTTCAGATTTATCGTTTTTCCCTGGGCACAGAGATAGATTTATGTTTTGAGCGAGTTAAAATGTAGAACAAGAATAAAAGAAATATTAAAAGCAGACGTCCAAGAAGAAGAGTAAAGGATGATAGAAAAGAAACAAGATAGCAAAGAAGCATATCGTGTTATGACAATATAATTGCGAGAGAACAATGTTTAAAAGGCAAAGTCATAGAAACTTGATTTAAATCATGCCCCACATCACAATATATTATCATAAACAATAAACAGACCTACTCATTGAAAGTGTAAACAATCAACCTCAATTGAAATACTTAACAAGGGAACAAACCAAGGTTCGGCCATGAATTAAATGCAACAGTATAAACCCAGAATAATAATACACATAAGGAGCATAATTTCTATAATGTTACATGAACATGGAAGACGGCAGGAAAAGAAAAGGAAGACGCAAATTTCAATATGCAAAATGCTCGAACCATGACTTGTTAAGGAAGCCACATGGCGAAAGATTAGACTAAACTTCATTTCCTACTTAACACTGAAATTTTCAGACACCAGCAGAAAGAAAGCAGTAGGGAACAACACTTTCATGCTTGAATTCTAAAATTTGTCATCAAGAGACAGAGCCTCCATTCTGTTGAGTAACTCGGCTCTACCCAATGGGGCCTGGAATCTGACTCAGTCTTCAACAAAAATCTGAACATATAGAAGCAGAGACTTCTCAGTTCCCAAATGAAACGCAAAATACGGTAGTAAAATATTGTAATATATTCAAATTTCAAGAACAAAATGAAGATGATGCAATCTCACATGGAGTTTTTATTCCGATAGTGCGGAAAAGGGAACGAGCTTATGAAATGAGACGCTGTCTGTCATGGTCCTCTGCGTTGGTATAATTTGGATTCTCAAAATTGTAAAATTACGAAATATGAAACGTGAAAAATTTGCTGTCCGAAGACTAACCTCAAGACCTATTTACATATATAGCCCCACCGTATCTCCTTATAAGAATCCCACTGGCTATACTGAGAAAAAGGAAAAATTACTATATAACTCCCTGTAATTTCACTTCATTGGAAATTAAATACGTGTTTTTTTTTTATCATGATTTTCTCAATTATAAAATCAAAACCAATCAAATTACAATATACATGGATGCAATATTACAACAAAGAGCATAATAATTTTTTCATATTGACAATAAATGAGTTACAATCCATCATTGTATTTTTTTAAAAAAAATCTTTTATTTTTATATTTTGTTGCAACTCATGTAATTTAGTCAATATCCATATCAATAATGATTAACAGATTATGAGCATAAGGACTAAATCCTATAATTAAAGAAATTGTACGGAGATAATAATAAAAAATCAGAATCAGATTTTTAATCAGGTAAATAAAACTATAATAATCTCAAATTAACTTTTTTTTCCTTCAAAAAAAAAGCTAGAAAAAAAACCCCTCATGATCCAAGCAATGCGACAAATTGTATGCCTGAGGATTAGAGCACATATCTTACCTGAAAATAGGCATCTTAATCTTTTATATCACGACAGGGAACATGAGCAATTTTGTGCCAGTCCTTCCCTGTTCCCTCCTTGCATCTCTTCCATAATTTCGGACAACCGCAAATGGACAAATATTTCAAATTTGTAAGGCTCTGAGTGTTCATCGGAAGTGACATCAACTTGGGGCATCCAGATATATACAATGACTCAAGCAACCCAAGGTTCCCCAACCAGTCAGGCAAGGACGCTAGATTTGGGAGATCAGACAATCGTACCAATCGAAGGGTCATAATATGCTGTAAAGCATCATGGATATCTTTCACCTCCACACATCTATCAATAGTTAGAGCTTCAAGGGCTATGAGGTGTCCAAAACCTGTAGACAGTTTGAATTTAGGACACTCACTAATAAAGAGATTTTTAAGAGAACACAACCCTCGCGACGCTTCCTCTGTAATTGTCTCAAGGTTGTTGCATTCACTAATTTGCAATTGTTCGAGAGCCTTCAAGTTGGCGTGAAGGTGCTTAAGGCCTACTAACATCTCTTCTGGAAAGGAAGTCAACTCTCCATCTCCGGACAAAGCAAGGCATTCAAGATTGGGCAGATTTTGATGAATTGAACCAACTAACTCCTTGCTACATCCATTTGTAACTTGTAGTTGAGTGATGGATGGAAGGAAAGGCAAGTTTAGTTGCGGACAATGAGTGATGTCCAACTTTGAGAGACGTGGGAACATGCTGTCTCCATCCTCCCTTGACAACTTTACAATGCTCGGTAGCCTTAACAGCTCTAGACCTTCCAGAGCTTGGAAGCCTCTATCAACCCCATCAACATAAGATTCCTCATCTATGTATTGCACGTGATTCATGTCCGACAAGCTCAGACGCTTCAAAGACGGAAGTTTTGCCAGGCACGAAACGCATACAAGATTTTTACAACCCTTGAGTCGTAAGGAAATTAAATCCTTGAGCGTAGGATTAATCATCCATTGTGGGAGTTGGGTGCCAAGATATCCTTCTACAACCAAACTTTTAAGTTGCTTGTGAGGTTGAAGAGCTTCAAGAATTTTCTCCTCATTTTCTTGTAACTGGGATTGTTCGTTCCTTCTCCAGTACAACTCTAAGTCATTGAGGCGCTTATCAGCCAACTTGGCCTTTTTAGCATCCGTCTCACTTGTTACTCTCTCCAAGCGCTTGATGGAGAGTGTTCCTTCAAGCTTCAAATTTCCTACTTCTTCCAATAAGAACCCTTCTTGCACACCAACAATATATGCACTTAAGGTCTTCAAACAAGTTAGTTGACGCATCTCAGGGGCCAATCTGGATAATGACCAACACCAATTCAAATGTAGATGACGGAGAGATTTTAAGCACTTCAATTGGTTAGGCAACTTTTTGAGAAACCGACAATGGTTCAAATTCAAAATTTGCAAATTCCACAATGTACATATTGAATCAGGAAGCATTGTAAATTCACCTTTAGAAAGGTTCAAGTACCTCAAATGCTTTAATTGGTCAATAGAAGATGACACCTCATTTAAAAACCTCAGGTCAAGTGCCCGCAAATGATAACATTTCAGCAATCTATCACAACAAGTGTTGGCCGTAGAATAATAATCCTTTAGCATTATAAATGTTTTTAAGGATTTGACCTTGTTCAAATGAGATGACCATATGTTACGGAATTTGTCAATGTCATCAATTGAGAGGTGATGAATTCTTTCACTAAGTGGGCCACTCTCAAATGTTCCGCTATAACATTCTTCCCCCATCACAGATTGGGCTAAATCATGAACAAGGTCATGGATCTTAAACCATGTGTCATAGTCAAATTCATCCATATGAACATCCATAAAAAATGACCTTAAATATAATTCATTCCACACTCTGTCACCATCACCTTTCTCTTCAAACCCTCCATTGGTTGAAATGAACCCATTAGCCATCCAAAGTTCTATTACATGTTTCTTACTCATCCTTTGATCTTTGGGAAACAATGCTAGGTAGGCAAAACACTGTCTCAATTTTGCCGATAAGTTCAAATAGCTTAATCTTAAAGCAGGCAGTATAGAATCTTCTTCTTGTCGTAAATTCCAAATCTCACTTTCCTTAATGCGGAGCCACTCTTTTTCATTACTTTGGAAACGCAGAAGACTTCCTAAAGTTTTAGCAGCAAGTGGAACTCCTTTACATTTCCTTACTATTTCCCTCCCTATAGCCATAAGCTCTTCGCGTGCCTCCTCCTCCGATCCAAAAGCTCGTTGTCTGAACAACTCCCAACACTCATTTTCTGATAGCAGTGATAACTGATGAGGCGACACTGTTCCTGCAATGCGTGCAACCGTTGTAAGACGGGTAGTGACCAGAATCGAAGCACCCTTCGATCCACAGGCAAAAACGGATTTCAACTTATCCCATTCCTCCTGCTTCTCATTCCACACGTCATCCAGGACAAGCAAGTATCTTTTTCCGCCAAGCACCTCTTGAAGCCGTCTTTGTAGGGGTTCTAGATCTAAATCTGCACAAACATGCCCAGTAGCTGACTCTATTATAGCTTTTGACAGCCTTTTCAGACCAAAATCTTCAGAAACACATACCCAAATTCTTAGCTCGAAATGATTAACTACCCTCTTATCATGGAAGACGTGCTGGGCAAGGGTTGTTTTTCCGAGACCGCCAATACCAATAATTGGATACACTGATACGTCCTCCAAATTAGAAGCATCGCCAACCAAAAAGTCTACAATTTTCTCCTTGTCTGCTTCTCTTCCATAGAATCGGGTTTGAGTAATGATTGAAGTACTTTGCCGCCATTCCATGACTTCATTCCTTCTCTCGTGAACCGTCTCGCGTAAATGAAACCTCGTCCTTTCCTCAGCAACTTCATCGAGTCTTTGACTGATGCCTTTCAATTTCTTGGCAATTTTGTAACGGAACTTAACATAAGTGAGGTTGAAAGAGCATAAGCAAGAGGCTTGTACCTTGTCTTGGCACTCCAAGTAAAGGGCATGCGTGGAACACTCATCCAAGATGTCATCCAGCAAGTAAGCTGCATCTCGAAGCTTGCGCAGCCAATTCTTGAGAGCTTTGTCGGTGAATTGCTTCTCCTCAGCATCTTCGAGCACAGCCTTGATTGTAGTGAATACGCTAGAAAGCCTTCTCATTTCTCCACGCACACCCAGAAACAAACCGAGCTCTTTCTGAATGAGTGAGCTCAAGGTCTCAAGTGCAGCCTCAATCATAGCCTCCGTCATCTTGTGAATGACAAGATCCGATGTAGTGAGGTGTGATCGGTGGGAAGTTAAGCAGAGCGAGGTTAAAAGCTTGGGAATGTGTGCAGTAATGAAGGAAGAAGATGAGCAGAGAGACTTTTCAAGTCAACAACGGAGCAAAACCGCATGGTACGACGATGCAATGCTTGCTCAGAAGATGCTGTCCAAAGTACATGGAACTTGGAAGCAAGCGACACCACACGAAAATCATAGATATTTTCTTGATTGATGCACGAATAGAAAATTACACATCATTACCCCCGGCCAATTCGAATCTTTGCAACGCGCTCTTATTTTTCTGCTTCCGGCCCAAAAAAAAAAAAGTGTTTGGAAAAAGATCAAATTACAGTTTTAAAGGTAGTTTTATGATATATAAAATGAATATATTAGAAAAATTTTATTTTGATTTAGGTAAAAAAATATTTTAAAAAGTGTTTTTTTATACTTAGCAAACAATCCCTAAAAAATTAAAATGAATCCTTTTCACGTTTTTTTCTTATTTCATTTTACAATTCTTTTGTTTGTGAGATTATTTTCTCATGAGAGATAATTAGATTCTAAGATTGATTACTATATGTTAGCTATGCCTAGATGCCGGATGGATGGAAGAATTGAGTTAATTGTCTCTATTAATCAGGACAAAAAATGCGGTTTAATTTTTGGCCAGATTTATCTGTTTTTCCTGGGCACAGAGATAGATTTATGCCTTGAGTGAGTTAAAATGTAGAACAAGAATAGTAAAGAGATGTTGAGGGGAAGATAGAAAAGAAACAAGATAACAAAGAAGTGTATCGGGCTATGACAAGATGGTTCCGAGAGAACAATTTTCGTATGGGACGCATCCATCCATGACTCTTTTTGTTCAGATGTGCGAATCACGCATACTGATACACACACACATCAATTTTTTAAATTCTACAATATAATTGTTTTATTATAAAAAAATCATGCTTTGGAGTGAAGAAAATAACGGCAAACCAAAAATACGAAGGTAATACTAGATCCATGACAAATCCATCTCTATCAGTGAGTGAAGAAAATAACGGAGTTTTAATAATGGGTGGTAGACTCTTAAAAACGACCTTTTAATCATAATTTATAAAAAGGATATTGAGGTGCCTATGATTTTTTCTAATTTTTAAGGATTGAAATATGTGATGGGAACATGATGGTTGCGAGTCATTTAAGGATTGAAATATGTGATGGGAGCATGATGGTTGGAAAAAGAACAAGGAACAAGCTCGTAAAAAGAAACACCGTAACATACTCTGTTCTTGCAAAAATATATTTTGGATTCTCAAAATTGGACAATTTATGAACTGGTGGGACATTCTATAAATTTGCAAATTTTGAAATCAACCTAGTAACACCCTGTTACTTTCTTCTGACATGTCTAGTATAGGGATTTTGAAATTTGAAAAATAAAAATAAAAATAAAAAGTTTTAAAAGGCATATTGACTGGTAGTAAATTTTATGAATAAGTGCAATGTGTTTCCATGAACATTAACTTAGTAGATAAGATGTTGTAGTCCCGTACTAATGCGTGATTAGCTTATGAAAAAATAAATACCTCGGCAGTATATTGTGCACATAAAATAACTAATTCATGCTTTGTTCCCTGTGACAGCTTTGATGGCAGAGACTAATAACTAATAACTAATTTAATCGATCATTTATGATTTCCGAAAGAAGATGAGCAGAGAGACTTTTCAAGTAAAAAAAGAAGCAAAACCGCGTGGTGCAATAATGCAATGCTTGATCAAATGTCGTCGGAAGTACATGGAAGCAAGCAAGCAACACCTCACGAAAATCAGTGACATTTTTCTTGCAAGGTGTGCGAAAAGAAAAGTACAAATAATTACCCTTCGTATGGGTTTAGGAGGCTTCTAAGATCTTCCACTCTAAATTTTTGGGATCCAAAAGTTTGAATAACTTCTTTTTTAAAAAAAAAAAATTGACATCATCATGATACGTATATAAATTCAAAGTATCAAATTATGCTCCAAATTGAATAAAATTGTGCGATTGCAAGAATATATTAATGTTTAAAAGTAATACTTGCACCCCTCCTAGATGTATAAGTTCATTATTAGGAGGTTTGTTTTAATTCTAAAATACTCCTCCGGTCCTTATTATAAGACCCAATTTGACTTTTTATTTGGTCCTAATTATAAGACCCAATCCATTTTGTCTCTTATATTTATGCATTTTTTTCCAAGATAATCCTTCTAATAATGATAGTTTTAGCCAATATACTTAATTAGCAAGGATATTTTAGGAATAACAACACTTATTTATTATAAATAACCAACTTAACTTGCTTTCTTAATCTCCTCAAATAAGTCAATTGGTCTTATAATTAGGACCGGAGGAGTATATGAATATGAGACTTCAACCTCTTTTGTCTCATCAGGTCAAAAAAAAAAAAAACCTCTTTTGTCTCACATAATTATTATTTTTTTCAAACTACCTCCTATAATTAGATTCATGTATAATGCGTGAGGTACCACTCTGATTCCGCTCATAAATGACTTGTAGGAG